TATATATATATATATATATATATATATATATATATATATATATATATATATATAAATAGACACACACACACACACACACAGCCCTGGCTGCCTTGGAAACTTACAGAACTGCTTGCCTTTGCCTCCCAAATATTGGGATTAAAGACATGTGCCATCATGCCTGACTCTTTAAGTTTTAATGTATGTGTATATGTGTGTGTGTGTGTGTGTGTATGTATGTATGCACATGTATGTGGAAGTCGTGGATTGATGTCGGGTGTCTTTCTCTTTACTCTTCACATTGTTGTTTTGAGAAAGGGTCTCTTCACTGAATACAAAGCTCTCCAGTTGACAATATTGGGTGGGCAGAGAGCTCAGGGGATCTGTCTCCGACATACACACACATACCAAAGCTGGGGTTACTAATAAGTCATGAAGGTCTGAACTCAGGTCCTCATGCTTTCCCAGAAAGCATTTTCCTGATGGGGGGGGGGCATCCCGGCAGCCCCTTGACTCTGACTGTTAGTCTGCTATTAAACATTTAGGTGGTCTACTGTTTGCATGGTCCTAAGAAGTGGAAAATTCTCAGTCTAATCCTTTCCGTATCGCAGGTGAGGCTGATGCAATGGGTTGGTAAGCACGTTGAGAAGAGGCAACTAGTGACCGTCTGAGGTTAGTTGGTGGTTGAAACAAATCAGCATTTGATTCGGTCCTTTCCGGTAACTTTAGCTTGTGTTCCCCAACCATAAAATTACTTTTGTTGCTACTTCAGAAATGTAACTTAGCTAATTTTTATAAGTTGTATTGTAAACATCTGTGTTTCCTGATGGTCTTAGGTGACCCCTGAGGGTACTTCAACCCCGAAGAGGTCACGACCCCCGCGTTGAGAATCACTGGTTAAACTGGTCAGAAGACCTTAAATGTGAGCTGCACAGTTTCAGGGCCGTGCTCTGCAAGAAGGAGAAAGTGAACCAGCACCAGCATTCCTGGCTTTCTGCTTCCTGCCTGTGTATACAACACGACCCGCCACCTCACCTTGGCCACCTTGACTTTCTGACATGATGAGCCAGTACCCTCAAACTGTGAGCCGACACAAATGCATTCTTCCCTAAATAGCCTTTGTTAGGGATTTTGTCACAGCAAAGAGAGAAAGAACTAAAGTAGACTTTTTCTTTGGAAACCCTCCCCCCCCCCCCCCCCCAAGAGCACTCAGAGGTCAGAAAGTCTGTTTTTCTTTAAATCCTGTCTGGGATGGCAGAATGAATATAATTTTAGGGAAGCCCTCTTTTGATTCTACCTCATGAGCAGCTAGATTATTCTTAGCAGGTTTGTTGAGGAGAGTGAGTCTTTTTCTTCAGTGCTGTAGCCGCTGGTAAGGCGCCCATGGTCCAGTAAATAACTCCCTACCCAGGTTCATACAAGCAACACTAATTAAGCTCAGTGGGTCACAATGAAAAACAAGATGAAAATAAGACATAAAAATAGGAGGCTGAGTTCAGTGCTCAGACCTTTAATTCTGGCACTCAGGAGGCAGAGAAAAGGAGAGCTCTGTGAGTTCAAGGCCAGCCTGGTCTATAAAGTGAGTTCAGGGCCAGCCAGGGTTCCGTAGTAAAACCCTGTCTCAAAGCAAAACAAAACAAAAAGACTGAGCAGAACAAAGACCAAGTTCATTATTATTTTTTTTCTTCTGTTCAGAGGAGAGAGAGCAAACACAGTCCCCAACTATAACAAATGATGTTGTCAAGTTTTCCTGAATTTGGGGATCTTGAAGGCGTCAATACATGCAGATTACAATAAACCTCACCTTGAGAAAACCATCTTTGTGATTATGGTGTCTACCCTGCCAGGTAAGTAGAAGACCAAGCTCATTTTTATGGGTATGTCTGAATTCATGTCACTTCCACCTGCTCCTTATGGCACAGACGAAGACAAAAGGCACTACAATTTCCTACACTCGTGCCATATACCAGGCACATAGTTTCTTAATTCCTTAGCAAAACCCCTACAAAGAAGGATTATCCTTATTTAATAGGTGAAGAAAATGCTGCAAGCAGCCTTGAGGTGTTCACAGCTAGGTGGGCAAGATAAGACTTGAACACCAGCATCAAGATAAGGCTTGAACCCAAAGTACAGCCACCTAAGCCTAACGCCTTCCTGTTTGATCCACCCAGGTTTTTGACAGCTCTTCTTCTTCCAGAAGACACCTGAGAAGTCGCTTAGTCTGCTGCTCACCTTTATGAGCAAGCCACAAATCATCTAGGGAAGCACACGTCGAACCAAAAATCCAATAACTTTAGATTGGCTTTTCTCCTCCCCAGCATGTCTCTCTCAGCATCTCTAAGACCTCGAGAGCGATCTAGCAGGGTTAGACAAGTGCAGTCCTTGTCAGCAGTAATGCCAAGGTACAGAAGAATTCTGAGCACACGCGGCCTGGGAGGGTTTTAGGAGGAGGTGACTGGAGTGGCTTCGGCACAGAGCGAAAGGGTTTGAAAGTTTAAAAGCGCACTGTTGGAGAATTAAATGAGGGGCTAGATGACATCATACTGACAACTTAAGAGCTGTTTGTGGTTTTTTCAAGTGAACAAGGGTGGTGGCTTGCACTGGGTAGTGGGGATGCAGAGAAGTGAGCTTCCGGGACAGATAGGAAGGAAAATGACCAAGATTTGCCTGTAGATCACTATGAGTGTGACTCTTGACTCTGGGTAATCTCTTTTGTTTGTTTGTCTTTTGTTTTCAAATGATTTATTTCTTTTATGTGATTTGGTGTCTTTCTGCATGTGTACCTGTGTGAGAGTGTTGGCTCTCCTGGAGCTGTAGGTACAGTTGTGAGCTGGCATTTGGGTGCTGGGGATTGAACCCAGGGCTTCCAGAACAACATCCAGTATGCTCTTAACTGCTGAGCCATCTCTCCAGCCCATCTTGGTTTACGCAAGGCTTCTTAAACTTCTTTTCCATGTATAAACTCTTTTTGCCTGTGAAATTTTCATGCAACCTTAGATATACAGACATACAAATCAAACATTTACTGATAATAGATCATTAAAATTTTCACTTAAAATAATTTAAGTGAATAATTTGATATACATCTAATTTGATCATTTATTAATGCAAAAGTGAGGTTTCACACTAATTAGGTTTATGTTTTCCTTGCTGTGATAGAAAATTGAACAAAAACAACTTGAGCGCGGAAAGGGTTACTTTAGCTTACAGATTAGAGTCCATTATTGAGTAAAGTCGAGGCAGGACCCTAGAGGCAGAAAATAAAGCAGAGAGCATTGAGGAACACTATTTACTGGCTAGCTTTTCACAGAGTGCTCAGCCTGCTTTATTTTCCCACCCAGGACCACCCACAGAAGGGTGGTACTACCTACAGAGGGCTGGCCGTTTTGCAACAATCATTAACCAAGAAAATGCTCCACAGACTTGACTACAGGCTAACCTGGTGGGAACATTTTCTCAACTGAACTTCCTTCTTCCTAGAGTACAGTAGCTCGTATCAAGCTCAAATACTAGCCAGAACAGACGTGTGTGCTTGTTTTTACATAAAGAATTTCATCTTGGCTGAATATTTGATACTGCAAACTCAGACCAACTTTGATGTCTTTCAGAGCTGACTGATATTTGTATTGCCATTGTGAGATACTGAGAATGTCAGTTTGTGCAAATATCACAAAATCACTGAAGTATGTTTAGGTCATTTCAGAAACTGCTGGGCATTCCGTCCCAACTGAAAGCCAAAACACCATAAACTTGTGTATGTATGTGTGAACCTTGACTAACTAAACCAGCACTTTTATTTTTAATTTAATTTTAACATCTACTTATTTTGTTGTATTGGGGGAGAACTCATGCACGAGGTCTCACATGTGGAGGTCAAAAGACAACTTTTGGCGGTCAGATCTTTCTTCCCACGATGTGGGTTCTGGGAATTTAGATCAGAGTGTTAAGCCTGCTGACAGTCTTACCACCTTGTCAGCCTCTAATCAGCCAGTTTAAAAAAAAAAAAAAAAAAGTCAATTTAACAAAATCCAATCCAGACATGTACCAGTTTGGTTCATGGTGTGGAACAAGTAGAGAAATAGCCAAAGTCTTTGTCATGACAAACGTTTCCACAAGAATAGCAAGCTATATATATATGTGTGTGTGTGTGAGTAAATATTAATAGCACAATTCATAAGATGCGAGCCAAGGTGGTTCAGGCATTGTTTGCTGGTGTTGTGTATGTGATAGCACACACAGGTCAGAGTGCACTTGTGTGTTCAGAACCAAGGCTGTAATCACATATTTGGACACAATGGGCAGGCATGGCTAGAAATACTTCGGATTCCTTATTTTTAATTTTGAAATTAACTTATGGTTGTTGCACATTTTAGAAACCTTTGACTTAATGACAGTTTTGTGAGCATCCCACACTAAATTACGAGAAGACCAACAGTTTCGTAACAGGACACCAGACATTAGTAGGCCCTCAGACCTTAGCACAATGACTCCGTGACAGAAGTGCCATTTAGGCTGTAAAACTCAGCAAGTAAACAGAACCACCTGCCAAAAAGGAAGATAAAGAGTAAATCCATCAAAGTCCATAGTTATGGGAAAGTCTCTGAGTCCACTAAGCTTGTTTTATTTTGCTTCTTTAGTTCTGCTTCTGCCTTACTGTTTATGTTAACTGAAGTACGTCAACTCAGGACATTGTGTGTGTGTGTGTGTGTGTGTGTTTAAAAGCTCGCCCTGAGAAAAGCTCAGGGCTACACTGGGATCCCGAACATTCAGAATGGTCACTGGCCAGCTAATAGAGACATTTTCTTTTTGTTTAAACCTAAGTCTGAACAGTCTTTTCTGATGAATACCCCACCAGTTTAAGAAGCCAGAGTGAGGATACTTGAACCATACTCTTTTTTTTTTTTTATATAGAATAAGACGTGTGTGTGTGTGTGTGTGTGTGTGTGTGTATAAAATAAGACTAAACCTACTGTAAATGATGACTAGTGAAAAATCAAAAGAACTGGATACAAATTAGGTATCAATGGAAGTTAATTTTTATTACTCTCTTCCATACTTTGTATCCCCTGTTCCTTTACAGAGAACTCTACCACAGAACAGAGGCGAGGCCTGAAGAAGCCTTTCGAAGCCTGAGGTTTGTTTTCCGTTTAAGTCCTTAAGATGGTTGGGTAATGGCAATTTGGCAGATTTGGAAATCACCTAGGAGACCAGCCAAGCCTGTGGGCGATTATATAGATTAGGTTATCCCTGGGTCATGCCCTGGGGATTATCTAGATTAGGATCACCTAGAAGACAAACTTCGGGCAGGCCTGTGGTGGGTTATGTAGACTAGGTTATCTTGTTGGCTGAGTCCTTGAGGATTATCTAGATTAATACAATGGAGATAAAATCCATTCCATCCGCTGGGGTTCTGGACGTAATACTCAGGAGAAAGCTAGCACAAGCGTTCATCCGCTTTTCTTCCTTCCACCTCAAGTTTGTCATTACGACCTCCTCATCCTGATGGTTTGTATCCACTCCAGCCATACGGTGTAATAAACCTTTCCTTCCTTAACTTGCTTTTGTCACATATTTTATCGCAGCCACGGGCAAAGTGACTGACGTTGTTGCTAAGCAAGTCTCTCCTGAGCCCTCCTCTGGCGTGGCTAGGACTGGGCGGAGGTAAACATGTAGGTCAGAGATAATGCCTCCAAGGGCTTAGGCCACTTCAGCAGGCGACTTAGGATCTTATTCCCTGCATGAGTTCACGTCTTTTTCTTTCTTTTTTTTTTTTTTTGACAGCTCACAAAGATCCTCCTGCTTCTGCTTCCCGGAGTACTGGGATTAGAGAAGTGTGCCATTACGCCCAGTCTGAGTTCAAGTGTGAAAAGCTGGTTAGAGGAAGCTGGTTAGAGGAAGCTGGTTGGAAAGCCTGCGCGTGTGCGAGACCGGATGGGGGCGTGGCGCCCAGGCCCCGCCCCTCGGTCGGGGCAGCTTCTGACGTCGCGGGAGGTGGGCCGGACGAGGGGGGCGTAGTGAGCAGGGGCGGGGCCTCGGGGGCGGAGCCTGCGGGGCGGGGCGGGGCGCCGGTGCGTCCTGGAGCGCAGGCCGCCGCGGCAGAAGCGGAGTAGCTGGCAGCTGCGGACGCGCCGCGGGCCCGCGCCCAGCCTCGCTCGCCCTCCCGGTGCCTCTCCTCCGCCGCGGGTGTCCACGCCGGGTCCCGCACAGCCGGCCGAGTTGCCAGCCCGGCGCCCTACCCGGACGGACGCTGCGCCGAGGAGCCGCGCGGCCCGGCGCACACGGAAGTGGTGAGTGTCCCCGTGGGGAGGTGAGGCGGCCGCGGCCAGCCCGGGCACCGAGCGAGGGGCGCGGAGCGGGGCGTCCGGGGAGGCCGGGGCGGGGATTTCCAGGCGGCGGCCGGGAAGGGAGGGGAGGCCGCTCTGCTAGCAGCTGCCCGCGCCGCCGACATCCTGTTTATGGCCCCGCGGCCTGCGCGCCCGACGGCCTCAGGCGCCGCAGCAGCCTGACAGCAGGACTCACCGAGGGTCGTGGCCGGCGTCCCGCCCGGTCGGCTCTTGCAGGGGGACTTTCTGGGGTTTGGGACTGCGTGGGGCGCGCCCGGGAACTCCGGACCGCAGCTTGCCGGAAAGCAGAGTGATGGAGGGCCATCGGTGAAGGGACCGGGGAGAGGGGGACTGCACGCCCTACCCAACGGGACCAGATTCATCGAAACTGGCACTAGTGTCTGTGTGACTCCCCAGCCCCTTACACCGTCACCGGAGCCTCAGATGCAGTAGGCGCTCCTCTGGAGACACTCCCAGGCTGCTGGGATGCGTGTTTACGAAGAAGTTCTTTAGGGAGATTAGATCAGCGGTG